TTGAGCGATTTAGTAATTCCAATCCTTTCAACACAGCATTTGCTTACGCTTTAGTCGATGAAGAACGAACTCTAGTTCCACTCGAACATAACAAATTTATCTGTGATTGTTAGCAGTGGCGGACCCAGGATTATTGAAGAGGGGTGTCGCCGATAAAAAATTATAATAATTAAATAAAAATTAATAGAAATTACTGGAAATTCATTTGTAAGTTGACAACGTCATGTTTATTACGAATTATGACCATTTTTCATATCCTGAATTTTTTTAAAAATACAATCATCGCTTATGTTGCAAATCAAACATTTTTCTATATACACAACTACATAATTATTCATAAATTAGTCACCCAACCACATAGAATCGACCTACGTCTAAAATCAAAGTTAAAATAAAATAGTTTACAGTCAAATATAGTAAACCACGATCAACCAATTGCCAATTTTAGACAACACAAAATATGTCTAAAGCAATATCATTAGCATTTTTTCTCTAGTTCGACCAAATTAACCAAAATCAAGCCACAATCTCCCATAAATCTATGCAATTCACCTATTAACTACAAATTAACAAGTTAAATTGGTTTGTGGGTTACTTAAAACAAGCACGCTTATTTGATTTTACTTATTATTGTTAATTACTAATTATGATGAATAACTTTATAACATTAAATTATTTTCTTATAATAAAAGTGTGTCGCTTATAATTATTAGAGCGGTGTCGGAAGTCTCAAATTAATATTTTTTGTACCGAAAAAATGGAGGTCCTTCACAAAATTTTCGAGCGGAGGGGTGTCGGACGACACCCCTCTCCAAGCCCTAGGTCCGCCCCTGATTGTTAGTGAGAACGATATTATGTGTTGCCCACCGACGAAAATCATGTAAAAACCACTCATCACAATGAAACTACAAAATATATAAACGCAAAATATGGGTTGGAATTCTTACATTTCAAATTTCATGGTTTGTAAGTGATTCTAGGAAGGTTATTTTTGTTATTGTACCCAGTTCATGTTTATATATTAAAATATTATTATTGGAGTTCGAACCTTGGTCACTTAAATAAATAAATAAAGAGCATTGTAACCAACTAGGCTATATTTTATTTATTGTTATTTCTTTGATTAAACTCTAGGAATATGTTTGCTGATGATGCTTCTATATTTATATTTTATAGAAAGATATTAGTTCTGAAATCAAACCGCAATAGTTATGATTCAAACATTAATGTTAAATTGTATGTTTAGTAGTTTAGACAAAATACAGAAGTGTAACCAAAACATGGACCTTTGTGACGAGTATAATCTTTTTTTGTGACAAATCTACACATAATATAATGATAAAATTGGAAAATGAGAGTCTCATTTCAAATTTCGTGGTCTGAGAGTGATTCTAGAAAACTCTTTTTCGTCCTAGTGTCCAATTTATCTTTATATTATGTATAGATTTGTGACAAAAAAAATCACTATATTTGTCACAAAGATCCATGTTATGGCTACACATGTGTATTTTTGTCTAAACTGAATCACACATACAATTTATTATTTAATGTTTGATCAATGTTACTTGAGTTCCGATTTCACAATTAATCACTTTCTATGAGATATAATAATTTTCAGGTAAAATATCTTTCCTATTTGATTGAAGAAGCTCGTTCTATAAGATATATTCAATGTTTAAGATTTTCTATTTCAAATTTCGTGAAGTGAGAGTGAAAGTAGGAAGAGTATTTTGTCATCGCAATTATTATCTACTTCATATGAAAAATATCAATATTAAGATTTGAACCATGCTCTTTTCAAACAAAAACAATAATCACAACCAATTACAGTAAATAAATTTGTTTTATCTTCTTGAATTGTAAACATGAACTAAGCGAAAATTTGAATAACAGAGGACTTTTCACGGTTAGCTAGTCTATTAAATCTTATGAACAAACAAAGTTTAATACGTGATTTATAATTTTTATAACTTATAAAATAACGAGTAATCTTAAAATTGCAACACAAATTTCATTGCTTGAAATATTGCATATCGAACTACAGTATTGAATATGCAAAAGTGATATAGAATTCTTTAAATTAATATAAATTTTCAGAACTAATACTAAACAATAATATTTTGTACAAACTATAGGTGATTGGTTCTCTAAAATTTTAGCATGGTTAACGGCTAAACGTTAAACTCTTGCTAATCGGGCATGAATGGACTCGACAATAATGAGACGATATCGAGTTTAATGTGATGTTCATTTCTTCAGTTTTGGATCGGATGTGTTGATCATTTATAGGATATTAACATATAAATGAGTTAAAATTAACCTCATTATACCATTTTTACTATTTATAATAATTAATTTAATCTCCATATTTGTGATGTTTGAAATATTTTATGTATGATTTAGAAGTATAATTATTATTTGTGACATTAGTTGTAGTTTATTCAAATGTAGTATTTCATCAGGTAGTCAAAATATAATACTGGGTGCATTTATGACTGTTGTTATCTTGGTGTAGTGAATAGGTAGAAACTTAATTATTATAATGCATATAACTATACATAGGCACATGGTCGATCTAGCACGACAAAATTAGAGCATACCTTGAAAACAACGTATATGGACCGGCCATGTACAAGCATGAATGCTTCATGGGTCGTACCGGACTTAAACTTCAAGGGCTCGCGCACAAGTGCGACCACCGCACAGTATTTATTGGTGAACTTATGTTTTATGGAGAAATGTGTTATTTGATAAAAATAAAAATAAAATATTCTAAAAATAACATATAAAATTGGAATGATTGAGTAGGTCCTCGCATCAACGTGTGACGACTCATATTCTAAAAATTTTGTCAAATACATTTATTGTTTATTTTGAGACTCAAACCTTTTTCAATGCATACAACTAAAAATTCTTTTATAAAATCATTCTTGATTAACTTCATAGTTGAAAAGTATTTTTTACAGCTTGTAGCAATAACAAACAACATCAACAATCACTTCAGAAGCAAGTAAATTGAAGAAGAAATTGGGATTAAGTATTTCTTTGCAAATGTGTGAGAGGGGGAAGACATTTTTTTTTGTCTAAACAATTTGAGGAAGGGTTGAAACTCATATACCATTTGTTTGAATATTGCATATTGAATTGGAGTATGGAACATTTTGGAAGCGATATATAATTCTTAAATTAGTATTAATTTTCAGCCCAGTTAACCAATAGCCTTAGACATTTTGCTAATCTGACATGGATCCAATAATCATAAGATGAGATTTAGTTTGATATGGCGTCGGTTCAAAACCATTTTTTATGTGTAATGAATTTGTACGACAAATATATTTAAAGTGAAGATGAACCTGGTTATGCATTTGGATTCTTTAGATAAATACAATGGTTTAAGGTTTTGAGCGATGAACTAACTCGATTGATTTAACGATTTATGCTTTTAATCACTTTTAATAATTAGTTTATTCACAAGCTATCAAGCTACTTTGCTCCGTCGATGAATAAGCGACCATCTGTTCGCCAGGTTTCAGGTGCTTTGATTCACATTATCGACCGTGAATGGAGAAGAAGAATTTCAAACGCAAAATTGGAGAAGTAATTGGGACGTTTCTAGGTTTCTCTCGATTCCAGGTGGTGAGACGAAAGAGGAAGGGAAAAGGGGGAGAGTGGTGAGATACAAAGCTGAGAGATAAATGGAAAAACAAATGGAAAAACAAAGAGGAAGACAAAGAGGGAGTGAGAAGACAAATTTAAAAGAGGAGGAAAATGTAGTGTGAAATAATTGTCTTTCTGCTTTGATTAGTGGATGTTCTTGGCCCTATTATGTTGAGTTTTGATTTATTTTAAGAGATGACATTATATTTGATTATTTTTTCCATTTCAATTTAAAATTCTAAATCAATATTATCATTTGAAAGATTTTTTCCTTAATACGATTATTTTAATTTATGAGATTTAAGGGGTATTTGATAATTTCAATATTTTAGTGGTGTTTTATTTAAAGTCTGTATTGAAAGATCGTACGTACCGGCGGTCAGACCATAAAACTTCACATCACAGGATAAATCGATAGGTGATATTTAGCAATATGAAACGGTTGAACCACAATTAAATTATGACTTTAGTATAAAATACTCTCCTACCAACTTTTTCAATACGATTTTACAATCCTTTGGTTCAAACAATTCTTTTACACTCGTGGAAACAAAAGTTTTAAGGCACATTTTGAACTATCTACTGTAAAAAAAACATAAGTCAGTTAGCGATAATGAGAATATGCAATCTCATGCAACCCAAAAGACACTTTGCCATTTCTATCTTTTTAAAATATATGTATGCTACTCATACTCTCGCTCATTCATCAATTTAATTGAGTAGCATATATTTCATGTAATATTATTTTCATACGTTTTTATTTATTGAATTATTTCATGAAAAAAATATTTGATGCATGAAAAGTACTACATTGTTGCTAGACTTGTCTGGGATCTGCCAATAATTGTGGAAGTCCGTACACAACACATTGTCCAACTAACTATTAGCGATATCTTAGCATCATGTCCTATATATTTCAAATCAAGCATCTTCAGATTCATTATCAACAGTTTGGTAAAAAAGAATGCTCTCTATCGAGAAAAACTTAAAGGACATACTTAACTCTATTAGACATTTTCTTTCATCCTAAAGCTTGATTATGTATGTATTATGAGAAACAACTCTAATATTCAACTATATGGTTTAAATAAGTAACGAATGACAATTAGTTATATTTTTTTTTATTCAATAATTATATGTAATGAGTAGATAGAAAAAAATCATTTCATGTATTTCAAATCATCTATTATATACCATATTTCTCGACAAAATTCTTCGGACCAACGGATCCGGCCTGGTGCTAGTATCCAAAATAGGAAAGATGAGAAAGGGCCCTCTAGACTGAATGTGCGCTGGAGGTCAGGACACACTGGAGGCCTCTTAGAACAAGAAGACCAGTTCTAGCACTCTCGAAAGTCCACCCAAAAGCCCAATCGAATAGCCCAATTCCTGGCTGGTTGCCTCTGACGGGGAACGGGGAAGTGAGGAAAGAATACTGTCAGCGACCCTGCCTGCCTGGTTAGACAGCGAGCGCTGTCGTCTCATCGTTTTCACTCTTTCGCCATTTTCGACCCCGATCCATCTCTAAATTAAACTGTTGCAGAGGCCGGAGCTCCCCGTCCGTCGGCTGGAAATTCGCCTCCGGCAAATCTTCGATCAAGCTCTTCCAACCTCGCCTTGCTGCCTTCCGTACCAAAGAAGCGAAGAGGAGAGAGAGCAACGGAGGAGCGATGTTGCCTACCTCGTCCAAGGCCAGGGCTTCGTCCTCCGCATCTAGAGCTCAATCCATGTTCCCGCAGTACCTTCGTCGAATTATCAAGGTTTTGCTCCCTTCTCTCTGTCTGGAAAGTTCGTCTCGTTCAAGATCTGATATATCCTGCTCAATTCCAATTCGTCCCTGGAACTATGCCCTGACTAGTTAGGAAGATCTCATTTCGTTAGTTAATCGTCGCAATTGGCGCCTGTAGCCGTGTGCATTTAGCGGCTACTTCTTGAGAGTTGTTTGCTTCCTTCATTTGAGAGAGCATTGTAGTTAGAATTTCCGTTGAATCTGTAATGTTTGGGGTTGTGATTTGTGAACCACGTGAATTCGGAATCTGATTTGATGTCCTCATTTTCTCCCTGAAATGGTGAGCTTTGTGGCTTAGTATGGATGTAATCTCGTATCTCAGGGTTCAGGAACTGTGCCACTCTGAGGGGAAGTGGTGTTTTTCGTTTGAGCTATTATTGGTTTCAGTTCTCTGATCTCTCTTTGTTCTACTTTGTTTGATCATTCTAGTGGCAACAAATGGACATTGAATACACGTTCTGGCAAATGCTTCACCTATGCACCTCTCCGAAAGTTGTGTAAGTAATCTTCATCGGTTGTTCGATCATTGATATGGTTTTCGTCTTTCTTTCTGTTTCTTCAGTGACTCATTTTGCATTATCATTTGAAGCAGCACAGCTTAAATTACTTGACATTGAAGGATTTCATACATGCTTTTCCAATTTCCTTTTCTTGTTTTCCCCCATCTGCTTCTTATTATTGAGTATTCTGCTATACAGTAATTAAGATGTAAGGTTTATACCTTTGATAACAGCATGGTATTGCTGGAGTCATGAAAGCAGGCGACTGTTAGATAAATTCTGTAGACTTTTTGTTTCACATTTCCTGGTGACCATGCCTTGCGATCCTGATTTCTTTTCGTTGTATGGAGTAGAAAAAATAACATGTTTATGACTTTGTCTGTAGTTTGGGGGTTAAACAGACAAGCTGGTCTTATTGATATTGGATTCTAATAAGTTAATCGCATTTGTTTGCATGTGTTGCTGTGTGATGGAAGCAGCTATCAGCACACGAAGTACCATAAACGTAAGTTTCTCGTCCCTGTATATCTTATTTGTGCGCATTGGATATTCTTGTTGTTTTTGTGTTAATGATAGCGAGCTGCTGGCATTGACATTAGCAATGAAGGTGGATTGCTTGGATGGACTTCCTTGACTGCTCTATTGGGTCTCTAAGTGGTGCATTATTGAACAACTGTATGATCAGAATCCTTAGGTGGAGAGATAATTCAGAATTTGGTTTACTGAAAGGAGAATATGAAGTCAACCTCCCCTTTCCCCCAATCATGATTTCATTCATCAAACCAAACGAAAGGGCTTATTTGAGAATGCTGATAGCTAGTTCCTAGTAAATATTATGCCTGTTCATTGTCCTTGTGTATGCATAGAGGAAGCAATAGGCTTGTACTTTTTAATTCATGAGTTGCATGAGTTTTCTATCAGAGAGTATCTTCCAATAGTTTTGTTGCATATTCAGTTATTCAAGGAGTAGTATTCTGCATTTACTCCGGGAAATGTAAGATTAAAATTGAAAGATTGTTGTTCCTTTTCTTTTTTTATGTCAGAAACTAAGAATCAATGGGCGCGTGACGATCCTGCTTTTGTTGTAATCTGCAGTCTCCTTCTGGCCGTTGCTACTTTGGCTTATTGTGCCGCGTAAGTTTTTGGCTATACTTCTTCCCATTCTTCGCCTCTCCTGATAGGATAAATGTGAAGATTTAACACCATCTTTAGCTTATGATTCCTGATATAGATTAGAAAAACTGATGCTTAAACTTAGTATTGTAGTTAATTCCCTATGAATTTAATCTAAGTTTGACCTTATCTCTATTTCAGGTATGATCACAGTCCGTCTCATGCTATTTTAGTAGTTCTATCAGTATTGCTTTTCCATTTCTTGATTGCGGGCGTGCTTCTGGCTACTTCTTGTTGGTAAGATTATCAATCTACTTTAGCAATTTATTTGATGCTATTGTTATTATCAATTTGGTGAAATTGCAGAAGAAATGATATTTCCTTAAGAAATTTTGTGCTCTGCATGTTCTACAAGTTGATGAAATCTTGCTTCCTTTTAATGGAATTGGACTGGAGACCATAATATATGAGTTGGAATTTGGACAGACTTAAGACAAAGTTGACAAAGTTTGAATTCTAAGGCCAAACTTGAGACGTGTTTGAATATAAAATTCTGTTCCTCTGATCTTTTAGTTATTGACGTTTCCAGCCATTGTAATATGGTTTAACAGGCAGAGTTACAGACTGTTAGTGTTAGATGAATGGAATTCTATATCCAAGAATGTTAAACGTGTGTCACTGTTCACATTATGTTGAGAAGTTACTCACATTTAGTCTGACCTACCGTTACTGTGTTATTGTCCACTGTCCGGATGTTTCATGACTCCTCTTTTCACTGTCTGGGTTGTTTCTCGAGCTTCTGATTGTTGCTCATTAGATCTCATGGCTTTTTGTATGTCAGTGATAAAACCATTCCTGTCTTCTCCCTCAGGTTCTTGACTAACTCATACCTTCGCGAGGAGGCTCCAAATAGTCACGTTGTCGAGCAACGGGTAGAATGGTAAGTCTAATCAAATCTGCTCTCTGCTTTTTATATTTTCATCTTGTTGCTGACTCTCTGTTTTTTCCCCCTTTGTAATTTTTCAAAATTTTGTTCTTTGGTTTGAAGGTTGTATGCATTCGATGTGCACTGCAATTCTTTCTTCCCTATGTTTGTTATGCTCTATGGTAAGCAAGGCCTACAAATCGTGTTGCTCTAGACCCCTGCCATTTTTCGGTCCTTAAAACACTAATGATTCACTGCTATGTTCCATGCAGTTATACATTATTTTATGTCACCTCTGTTGGTGGCCCATGGTTTCATACCGGTTCTACTATCAAACCTGCTTTTCATGGTGGCAGCCTCGTATTACCATTACCTCAACTTTCTAGGTTACGACGGTAAGCTGATTTTTGTCGTTTTTGTTTCTAGCCATACTTGCGGGTGAAGAAGAGATACCAAATCAGTTCTACAAATTGGCGAGAGACATTTATTGACACTAATGATGACCGGCAATATGTATTTGACTGCAGTGCTACCATTCCTCGAGAGAACGACCTTTTTCTTGTATCCAATCGGCGTCGTCATCGTCCTCTCTCCCATTTGTAAGCAAGTTCGATTCTTCCATAGCTAAACTACGTGTCTGCTCTCTTCTGACCATTCCCCGTATTTCATTGTACTCGGCTGCAGTGATTCTAAGTGGATTCAGTCCTTCAAGATACTTCATGAACATTTACTTCAGTCAGAGGCTATGATATACACAAAGCAGCTAACAAGATTTTCGAGGCATTCCGTTAGGTGCGCGCGATTGCATGGAAGTTACGGGGGGAAGGTATGATTCTTTTCTGTGTAAATGTGAAAACTGAAGGCAAGGCCCCCTGAATTAGAAAAGATCGTTATAGTGACTCTTCTAAGCGGGGAGTTTAAATGAAGCACAAAACGGGGTGGCCTGAACTCGTAAGCCGAGTTTTCGTTCCCGTCAAGGAATTTTACGGTTAGTCTGATATATGGTCATATGTAGATCTATGCTGTAATCCTCAAGATTATTGGTCAAATTTGGTGGGTTGTTGTTAGCATGGATATTCCTTCCTTCCATCTGAACTTTGGTTCTTGGAAGTGGAAGTTTTGCGATCATGTTGCCCGTTCACTTACGCCCTCTCTCCGTGCTCACTATTTGAAGTCAATGTGCAGAGTGTTGTGGGTCTTTCCATTTCGCCTTGTTTGTTTCCCTGTGGCGGGCTTAGTTTGTCTGTAACTGTAAGTGAACACGCCTGTCTAGCCTAGGCTGTTTCTATTCCCCACATGGTGGCTAAACTATACAAAATATCGTTCAATCTTGAACAACAATAATGTACGGCGGTTTCGAGCACCACCACGATCCACGAGACACGTTCGTATCAAATAACGTTCAAAACAATTTTACCCGCACACTATTTTCATGTTTGTAGTGGGTCCGTGACATTACCATTAGATAGGGGTGGGCATTGGTGCGGTTCGAACCGCACCGCACCGTATTGACATAGACCGCATCACACCGCATGTTATTTGGACCGCACCGCATAGTAGACCGCATTTAATCGGTACGGTCAAACCAAACCGCTTAAATAAGCGATTTGGTGCGGTTTAAACCGCACCGCATATTCGACCGCAATGTAATATGAACCTACAATATTCATGATTGAATTGACAAGTCAGACTTTCTACACTCATGATCGTCCAACTCAAAGATGCTGGAAGGGAAGGCCATGGTGAAAGGAAACAGACATGCTGCAAATTAAACCCATGGCTTCTGCTTAACAAGCACTCGAAAGAAACAAAGGAAGCTTGAACTTTATTTCCACAAAAAGACAGAGCATAAATTGAAAATGTTGTCTGGACAAACATTTTGCTGATCAAGAATCAAAGATGCTGGAAGGGACGGCCATGGTGAAAGGAAACATATATGCCGTAAAGTTAAACCCATGGCTTCTGCTTAATTAACAAGCACTCGAAAGAAAGAAACAAAACAAAGCATGAACTTTACTTCCTCAAAAAACAGAGCATAACATGCGGAGCAGTGGCAACTCGTTACATTCTTGAAGAGGCAGTAGCCAGCTCTACAAAGCTTGGGATCGCAGCGATTTCATCTTCTCAGCCGACGGCAAGCTCCTTGAATTCTCATGTGGTGAAGTCTTAGAAGTGATACTCCTCTCTATTAAAGGATTCAAAACTCAAAATGAAACCTTAGCGGATTGCGGTATTGAACCGCGACCGCGCGGTTTCGGTTTGATCCGACCGCAAACCGCGAACCGCATAAAATGTAGACCGCATGTTGGACCGCAAGCTTAACGGTGCGATCCGGTTTGACCGCATATACAATTCGGTGCGATTTGGTGCGGTCCGACCGCACCAATGCCCACCCCTACCATTAGATACGTACAAGTTATTTTCTGACCAATTGGCCGGGCTGAAGGTAGGGATGTCAAAAATATTCGTAACCGTGGATATCCGTCCGAACCCGGCCTAATCGGGTAGGGTAAAAACCGAATACGAAGGACATTTAGTGGGTACGGGTAAAACCCGAACTCTAATATTGCGGGTAATGGGTGGGCATGAGTTTCTCACTATCCAACCCGAACCCACCCGATTATACGCATACTGACATACATATGTATTTTGTCTAGAAATAATCATTATCTTTCTCTAACATATTTTATATTTAGCATATGAATATAATATTTTCATGAAATTGTTGTTTAAATTAATTTTCTTCATTTTAGTGAATTATTGTCATACTTTTCCTCTTACGTAATGTGAGAATAGGTGTGAATGTTAACATATTGGTTGGAGTTATGAAGAGAAATCATTATCCATGGATAACCATGGATACCCGAAATCCGAACGGGTATGAGCATGGTTTTAATTTTTTACCCGTTTCACATGTGGGTATGAGTATGGGTAAAACCCGAACTACTTTGAGTAGGGTGTAAAACCCGACCCATTGCCATCTCTGACTGAAGGCTAGTTCTCTCAAAAATGGGATGGTTAAGGTAAGCATCAATTTAATCATATTCGAGTTAGACCGCCGGTGACCTCGGCAATAAGTGGACTTTGCCAATGATCCTCCTGGCCACAAAAGCATCAAATCTCGATAAAAGACATCATCAAAGAATTGGACTTTTGGGCCAAAAATGTCCACACTTTTTCTTCCGACTAACCGATCGATCCTCCTCCACACAGAAGCGAAGGCAAACCCATCTTTCCCTTACTAGTCGCAGAGTTGAATTCTTCTGTCATATCACATATGGGTGTCCTACTAATTAGAGAGAAAATCGGAAGTGGGTAAAGGACCCAATTTGTCTTCGATGTGAGCCGGCCGGCCAGCTTTCGCCGGTACGAATTGACTAATTAAGGGGGGGAAAAGACGTGGTTCCCATTTATCCACTGCCAGGTGCTCGTTGTTCAAATTGGTCAGGGACCAGCTAGTGGGCGGGGCCGGCGATCTACCTTTCGCCTTCGGAGTGCACAACCACAACTCCATTTCCGACGACCAAATATGTAAACCGACTTCTGTTTCCATCAACAACGACCAGTCAAAGGGCGCCCTATCACAAACCCAAAATATCTTTGAAGTTTGGTACTGAATGATGCTGGACACTGGACAGGGATTGGCCTGTAAAATATTTTTCGGGTTGCAGCCCCCAGAATACTGAAATTGGATAAATGTCCGATGTGTCAAATCGGTTTATACTATTACGCTGATGATGTAGCAGGTGATAACGATTTGATCTTGGTACAATTAGTTTATATGACGGTTTTAACCAAACCATATGAGGAAGCGAGAAACCATGAAACCACCAAATGAAATGCGCATTTGTGTAATCTTTTAAGACAATATACTTATACATACCATTTGGTATAAATGAATTTCATAAGTTTTAAAGAATTCATTTGGAAATGAAACATTTTTGTGTTTGGTATTTAAAAAAATTCATTTTCAATTCTAAATTTTGAATTCTATGGAATTGAAACTAGTTATAGCAATTCCGAGTAACTGAGATGAAATTTCCAAATGAATTCTACAAGTATTTACTAATTATAATAGAATGGCATAATTATCATCTTTTATTAACTAAATTACTTATACATATGACATACAAAACACAAGAATTCATTTGACAATCAATCCTACACTGCAATTCATTTTATTTCTAAAGATTTGAATATGACATACCAAACACAAGATTTCATTTGACAATGAATTTTACACGGTAATTCATTTTACAATGAAATGAGTTCTCGATTCATTTGATACCAAACGGTCTGATAATCTCCATTCATGTTTAAAATAAAATGCTCTAGTACCAAAAAAATAAAAAACTATCAAATCATCATATCAAATGCAACATTCAATATCAATATTCAAGACGCTTATGCTTGAATCCAATAGATATCATCAATATCCGAATGTATATGCTTGAGAATCTGATAGATTTCATTTATTTTGTTAGTTAATTTCACCAAAACGACGCCGGTTTATTTATAGACCGAAAAATTAACCGTTTCGGTCACGTTTGTTTCTTGGATTTGAGTATTTATTTTTTACCGGTATTGATTACCGCTTTATACCAATAACCTTCCACCCGATTTTTTTTCCAATCATAATTGAATGCGCGATTATACCGACCGACATATCAGTGGATTCGACAACCATGAAGTAGAGCCTCCTTGCCTATTTATCCAGTTTTATTCACAATTTTAATGGAGAGTGGCTGGCCTGGCACGGCATCCCTTCATTTGGATTTTGTGGTCAAGGAAGACTGGCTCCTTGTGGTAGGTAAAGATGCTGATGGACGAAACTTTACCAAAAATCAAAGCCAAACCGGAGAGTCGTATCCTAAATTGGGTCAGACTCGTATGCTCCAGACGCATAGCATGCTCCAGGGCCTCGGTACCGTTGATCTAATCTAATGGTGTTTATTAATTCTAATTAAATTATTTATTATTTACAATTTTAAAATAATTAATCGGTACCAATACATTTTTATATGTGCTCTTTAGTACCTATACAATTTTTTTAATATACCAAGCACGATCTGCTTCTATTCCGTCGCCACCACGTTCCAAACCTAATCCCCAATGCCTATTCCAAATAACCTAATCCCACAACCATCGGAGGCAGATCCGCTGTCGTTCCCTTCTTCCTCCCTCCCTCCCTCCATCTTGCGCGGAGGATCTCCTCACCATCGTTGTCCGAGTCGGCATCGTCTGGGTGGAGGACTCTTCCCAAACCCAAACCTAATCGAAGATTCTGGACATGCAGCAGCAGATCAAAGCCTTCGATTGAAGGCGCCGTCTTTCTGGGTTTCCCGTTCTGAGTTCATCGTTCTTTGTTCGTTGTTCTTGGTTCGTCAATCTGTTTTTTTAATTTCTGGTTTTAATTGATTGAGGTCGACATTGTTGGATTTTGACCTATCTAAAATCGAATTGAACCCAACTGTGAATTACTTACGAAATCCCCTAGGACGAGTGGAGTTGTGGTCAACACGCCGCCAAACTCGAATCCCTACTTCAAGTTCCCAAAATCGAGAAGAACGAGAATTGGCAAACCACCGCATCGGAAGCGACCATCGCCGCCCAAACCACAACTGAGCACAAGAGAAGGAAAGTGAGAGTGACTCGAGATAACTAATCGGGATGTTTGATGATGATTGACGAATGAGAATCAGAGGATTTTAAGGTTCCTGGAGCAAGAAATAACCAAATCTCCAGGACAATCCAACTCTCCTAGTCCTAGAGGTAGCCGAATGGTGGATCTCGGATATGGCGTTTTTTTTTTTTTGGATAGACGTTCCAAAGGGAAGTATATTTTATGGGTTTTGACTTTGAGGGTGACAGTGAATTTGGAGGAAGGTGGTGTCGTACAATGAACATGATATATCAAAACACGATGGCAAAAATTGTTGGGGCACCAAAGTGCGCTTAGAAATATTTAATGGATGCAATTAATAATTATAATTATAAATAATAAATAACTTAATCATGGTTGACAATGACCGTTGTATTAGATCAACGGTGCAAAGGTCTGGAGTATCGTATGTGTCAGGAGCATACGAGTCGTATCCTAAATTATATATATATTGTTTGGAACGAGATATTATTGTGATCATCATCATCATTAATATATTACACTATTAAATTCACTCTCCATGTGAGTGAATACACGTAGTGTTAATAATAAGATATTAATTTGGTAGCATTTGGTCAACTGGTGGGTTAGGGTTAGAGTTGCACTAAGTCTAATACAACTTGGAACTCTCCGCCACTGGTGATGATGAATTCTGATTGATAAAGGAAAGAGTTGGTACTTGGTAGAAAGAATCAAAGGAAGGAGAGACGTCGTCGTGGAAGCACAAAACAGAAGTAGGAATTTTTTCAACCAACCCTATCTCCTTGTTGTGGGTTAGAGTTGCGTAGAAAGCAGTTTAGTTTAGGGTTCGTCCTCAACGAGGCGATGATTGTGAGGTAGATCACCTTGTTTCAATCTCTATTTACTATATAGGCCATGGAGGATTGAAGGTCCTTCTTGTGATGTCTGGATCGAACTGCTCGGGATTCTTGTTTATCATATTTGTTACAATGTGAATTGATTGGTCTCTCACTCACCTATGTTTTTGTCGACGATCTTTTAATTTTGGCCGAGTGAACATTTTGTGCGAGAACAGTATTTGATAGGTTCTATAGCCTATAAGGTCTACATTTTAATCTTCCAAATGCAAAATATTTTTATTATTCCTAATCCTAAATGGAATGTAACGACGGAGGGATCCATATGCAAACATAGTATCTATTTAGATACGCTCGAATGACCCCTTCTCATCATCGAGTCGATTCCATGATTATAAGTTCATTCCATACCGGACCAGACCGGAATAGGCTTATAAACATGCCACTGAAAGACTCTACTGAGACAAAGATGGGTTGTCAAGAACGTAGAGGAGGTAGGATGGGCAGTTGGTCAGATCTAGTATGGATCGTACATGGACAATAGTTGGAGTCAGCGGCTCTCCTAGGGTTCCCTCATCTGGGATCCATGGGGAAGAGGATCAAGTTGCCCCTTGTATCCCGTTGCCAAGAAAATTGCTTTACACGGTGTACATATTTCATGGAGGGTTATCTTCCTGTTAGTTACTTCAATCTATCTACCTTTAAATCAGTGGTTTGAGAGGTAGTGAATTTTTTGTTACTTAAAATAGGTTGGATTGTTTGATGGTCAGTTGTCAGCCTTGTAGTTTGCTTTCGAGACTTGTTCGTATTTGATCAAGGGAGTTTAATAAAATCGCTAATTGCTGGAAAACCAACCCGATAAAAAACAACGTCAAACAACCCATAAGATATCTATTTGTTGCCAACTCAACAATTATGCAATCCTACTCATTGAAATTTAATTGTAACTACATCAATACAATTCATTTTTTTTTTTATAGAATACAATTCACTTTCAATTGCAATTCAAAAAAATAACACATCTAAAATATATTTTATATTATTTAAATAACATTAAAAGAATAAAAAAGAAAGAAGCCAAAATCCACCAGCCAGCCACGTTGAATTGCATATAGACTTTTCATTATATGAACTGCTTGCAATTGGCAGTTCATGCATCATTGATATTCACTTTGCAATTGCAACTTCCATATCCAACGTCATAATCAAAGTGAATAATGATAGCCCGTGTGGGTGCCCTTAGTGATTTACAAGATAGTTTTGTTAGTAATCCATGGAGTTTAGTCAACTATGGCATCTGAATATTGAATATGCTATGCCTTCGATTTAACACCACCTCACGTTTACTATTATTAATTTATTATTATTACCCCCTTTCTCCACCTTCACGTCTCTGTGACTCTGTCTACCAAATGACCATTTGCCCACAAAGTTGGCACCATTTCACTGTCACACACCAAACACCCACTATCCTTAAACAAACATATACCATAATACCAATAGTAATGAAAGCATACCGTATCAGCGCGATTTTTGCCGACATAAAATAGTTGAACCATGATTAAATCATAATTTGAACACAAAATACATTATCTGTATACAACTTTTGAACCGATTTTACAGTCCTTCATTCTGGATATGCAAATAAACCAGTTCCCATCTCAGTAGAATCCAGAATCTCAACGCCATTGGAAATTTTCATTCTTTATTTGATCACCACTCCAAGCCAATATTGCTTCCACCATCACACCAGGCCAGATCACAAGATAGATAAAAGATAGAAACAAAGACAATACAATATGTAATTAATTGACGATTCTTCTTAGTGGGTCAGTGAGTTCCTTGGGACTCTTCTCTCTCTCTCTCTCTCTCTCTCTCTCCATCTCTTCACTGCTGGAGAAGCTTGCTTCCGGCGACATCAACGACGAACCTATACCTCACATCATTCTTCTCCAGCCGCTCCAAGGCTGTGTTCACGTAGTCCATATTCACCACCTCAATCATGGAGCTCAACCCTTTCTCTTTGCAGAAATCCAACATCTCCTCTGTTTCCTTCATGCTGCCTATGAAGCTCCCCGTTATCACCTTCCTCCCTGCAATAATCACAAAATCCATCAAAAGGGGCGAAGCTTTAACCCATATATTCTGTCAATCACCAGCTCATTCGTGTGTGCGAGAATTAAAGGCGGAATCTTTATGCAGATTCGTGATTTCCTCCTTACCTAGCATGACCATGGGAGAGATGAACTGAAGCGGGGTGTTGATGACACCCATCAAGATCAATTTCCCGTCAACCTTCAACAAGGAAAGGTAGGGCTCGAGCGGGTGGTTTACAGGCACGGTATCGATGATGTAGTCGAGGGAATCAGCAACTTCCTGCATCTTGGCAGCATCAGAGCTGACCAAATAGTCATCAGCTCCAAGATGATCCAACGCCTCCACTCTCTTCTTGTCGGAGGAGCTAATTACAGTGATATGATGACCCATCGCCTTGGCGATTTTCACTCCCATGTGGCCGACTCCTCCCAGCCCCAATATCCCACCTCTCAGCCCGGGTTTCTTCAGCCCGAAGTGGTTCAGCGGGCTGTAGACTGTGACTCCAGCGCACAGCAGCGGCGCGGCTTGCTCCGGGGACATCCCGTCAGGGATCTTCACCACAAATCTGAGGGGAAAGGGAATAAAGCCAAAAGGGGGTCAAAAAGAGGTGTTATTGTTCTGCTAGATATTCTATCGAACACCTTACGGGCGACTCACTTCTGGTCGACTACCATGGACTCGGCGAAGCCGCCTTGGGTGGGCTTCCCGTCGGTGTGGACATCGTTGTAGGACCAGATCTTCTTGTTGCAGTACTGCTCGATGTCGGAGTCGCAAGCCATGCAGCTCCGGCAGCAACCGACGAGACACCCGACGCCGACGACGTCCCCTGCACTGAACTTGGTGACTTCAGATCCCACCTCCACCACCTCGCCGATCACTTCATGGCTGGCAAAAAAATAAGAATCACCCAGATGATAAACAATCGATTCCGTTCATGGGCTCCCTTTCAATTCAATCAATTTCTCTGTGCTGGGGGTCAAAGGCTGGTCTTTTAAATTCTTACCCAGGAACCATGGGGTAGCGAGACATGCCGAGGTCATTCTTCACTTGGTGGATGTCTGTGTGGCAGACTCCGCAGCACATCACCTTGATAAACACATCTTCTGGGCCAGTGTTCCTGCAAAAACAGAAGGGGAAGAAAGAAAATCATCAAGAACAGATTCGCTGAAGAGAAAAAAGGAAGAATTGGTAAGAGAGTTGTGAGGGAGAAAGACGGGCAAAAACCTGAGAGTGAAGGTGTAAGGAGAAAGATGGCCGGAAGGGTCGGTTGCAGCCAAACCCACGATTGTTCTCTCCTTATCAATGCTACCCATCTCCGCAGATTGCCGAGAAATTACGGCTAATGGATTAAAAACAGAGAGTAGAAGAAGAAGAAGGGAGGAAGTGGGAAATGGAGTTGGAATGGCAGAAGATTGGGAAGTGGAGGAATTGGATTTTATAGAGAAAAAGGAAAAGAATAAAGAGAGATGATTGCTTGGCGGTTCGTGAGAAGGTTGACATACAAGCAAAAATGGGGAGTTGGTAATGGACTCTGTCTCTCTGTGTCTGTGGTGGTAGGTGAAAATGGCGATCGAGCCCTTTTTTCCCCCAATCATCACCTTCCATGTCGATGGATGTGTTTAGGTGGTATAGTTTAGCCACAGTATGTAAGCCCAATTCCCGTATGTCACTAGGGAATAATTGTGGCCCAAGTGTAATTATCATTTAATGGTTTAATTTATAAAGTAAATCCTATATTGATTAGGTTAATGATAGGTAAATTTCTAATATACCCTGATTGTGGGTCTATATAAAGAAGCTCTAGGATTGGTCCTCTCTCAACCCATTACGTAGAATTTCTTAGCCATCACAGAAATCTCTAAACCTAAAACCTAAAGGGGTCAAGAGGGAGAAACTCAATTCCGGTGATTACTACTCTAGCGCCGCCGCCGCTCTCGTCATGGATCGAGGTAGGTTTCCCCGATCTATTATCGATTCGTGAAATCATCTAATTCTAAGATCCATGCTATTATGATTTATGTTTACATGTGGTATCAGAGCTTTAGGGTTTATATGAATGGATGATTTTCGATTATGTTTGTTTCCGTTGCATCATCGTGTAGACTGCCATATAATTATTAACAATGGTAGGTGTTCTCACCGATTATTATCAATTCCGTTCTCTCCTTTATAATCAATGATGTCTTCCTTATTTAACGTTTCCCTCTGACATATTGCTTCATCAAAAGCTAACAGTAACAATTGGGTTAATTGCATAGTTGGTCACTAAAAATATTTAATTCCGTTCATGATCACTAAAATTACTTAAACATTTCAAATTTGGTCACTCTCCGTCCAATTCTGTTAATTTTGTCTGATATGGCAGTCAACTATTAGAGTTGACCGTTAAGTGTGTGACGTGGCAATTAAAAAATAAAAAATTAATTTTTTAAATTTCCACCTCATTATCACAATTATTAAAAAAATAAAAATATTAAAACTAATTTCTTCTAATCTCCATACCCTACCGACCAAACCCTGATGCTGTTGGAGTTACCTACTCCGCCGCCGCACTACCACCGCAGCCGCCCAGAGAATTCCAGTCGCAGTTCATCTCCGTCCTCGCAGCACCTCCCGCCTCCCGGAGACCATTGCCTCAGCGGTGGTGGCTCTCGGATTCCGCTCGGTGCGGATTCTGGATCCAACACCGAGCCTGACGCGGGCCTTGTCTTTCACCGAGGCCAGCGTGCTGCTCTCCGTTCTGAACCATCTGGTTCAAGAAATGGCAAAATCTCCGTCTTCCGCAGCAGAGTGGCTCCGGCACAACGTAGTGTCGTTCTATCGCCGCAGCCCGCATGCGAGTTTCCGTCGTCTATGTTGGCGACGACGCCGACGCGCAGTTCGTGGTTGCCGCAGTTCGCAACGTGAAGCTGGCACTGACAGAGCTCGCCATCGACCAAATTGATGTGTCAACCACCTTCAGCTTCACGACGCTGGTGACCGGCGCGTTTCCAGAAGATGCTCCATAGCCTGAATAGTCATAGCTGCATAGAGAAACAACAGAGAACAAAGGTCATAAAGCTCCAATCTTTGAACAACAAGGAATACAATCAAGCATCCCAAAACCAGAAACAACTCTAATTTCGACAAGAATTCATCGAAAAGCCAGAAACTTTCATCAAATCCAGTCTTGACGTCGGCGGGTCCGGCGGGAAGAAGGCGAATTTCGCCGCCACGTTCGACGTCACATTCCCCATTTCTCTTTCTCCAACAAACCCAGAGGGGGAAAAAACCAAAAACCGAAATTCAGCTCAAAGCTGGAACCTTTCCTCCTTCTTCTTGGAACCCAGTTGAAAATTTATGGCGGGGATGACAATTAAATGTTTAATTAATGGCGAAGAGGTGCAAGGAGGGAACTTTTCACTTTTGATTAATTTAATGCATTTGAGAGAGGGAAAGAGAGATTTGTGAAGTTGGGGCTCTCAATTTCTCATGGGTTGATGTGAAGGGATCCGATCTAAGAGGGAGAGCTGCCGGCAGTGGTGGTGGATGTGGCTGCGGCGGAGATAACGGTGGTGCTGCTAGCGGCGGTGGCGGAAGGAAGAAGGAGAAAGGACTGTTGAGGTTCATCCGAACATGAAAATTAGAAGAAAAGAAATTAGGTATTTTATAATTTTTATTTTTTATTAGTTGGAATAATGAGTTGGAAATTTAAAATTTTAAATATTATTTTTAATTAATTTTTAAATTGCCACGTGGCACATTTAACGGTCAATTGTAAGAGTTGACTGCCACATAAGCAAAAGTTAACGGAGATGGACGGAGAGTGACCAAACTTGAACTCTTTAACTAATTTTAGTGACCATGAATGGAATTAAATATTTCGAGTGACCAAACATGAACGTTTTTTGTAATCTGAGTGACCAACCATGCAATTAACCCAGTAACAATTATTAATAAATAGAATCGCAAATCTGAAAAGCGAGACACCTCACGCTTTCACTTCACCACTATCAGAGACTATATATGAACTTAATGAATAAGAATGAATATATATATATGTCTAAGTTACAATGGCTTTAATCGGTAGACCATTATAGCTTGCGATTCTAAGTTTTCCTTTTAGTCTGTTAGAGTAAGTGCTTTGTTTATTTCCACATCTTGCTTTTGTGGGTGCAATTATGCTTGATCAAATTCCATAGTTCTTTCATGTTGCTATCTATTGGCTTCGGCTATAATATGTTTGAGTTACTTTGATAATGAATTTGATCACAGCAGTCTTAATGGTTGATCAGTTAAGAAATTATTATAATAGTAACCTATTAATGAGTCAAGTTTTGCGTATGTATATTTGAGAACTATGATTAACAATTGCTGTGACTTGAGTTAAATTTTATCTTTGATATCTATGTTATGATTAATTTGTTAGTCACCAAAGTGACCAAATTAGAAGGTTTATAGATATCAAGTTGAATCAAGTTCAACTGCTAATGTTTATGTGATGCTTTTAAGCTGAAGTTCGTGATTATAAAATATTTTGAATCGCCCAAAGGTTGATATCTCGTTTTATAATTCATGAACATTATCGTGGTAAATTGATGTGCTTGGTTAGATATATTTAGTATATCCAAAGATTGCAAGTATATCTTATTTGAGTATGTCTATCACCAATTATATGATTATTTTGAGCATCAATTACGATTATTTATCGCATATATATTGTTGTTTTGCCCAAAGGTAGCACCAATATATGTTTTATGTTTATGTTTCCGAATCTGTATTATAGTTTATGCTTATTACCCAAAGCATTAATGTGTGAGTACATGTTATATATGTTTGCAGCATCTGTTCCTGTTTCTCTTCATTCGCAAGCCACGTCTGTTGTTAAGTTTAATGACCTCAACTTCTCTGAATGGGCTGAACAGGTTCAGTTTCACCTCGGTGTTCTGGATCTTGATTTGGCACTCTTAAGTGAGAAACCTGCTGCTCTTACTGATGCTAGCAGTGTTGAGGAAAAGTCTTTCCATAAAGCTTGGGAAAGATCTAACAGAATAAGCCTAATGTTTATGCGAATGACTGTAGCAAACAACATTAAGTCAACTTTCAATGATACTGAAAGTGCTAAGGAATTTATGAATTCCGTGAAAGAAAGCTCTCAATCTGAGTCTGCTGATAAGTCGCTTGCTGGGACACTGATGGGTACGCTAACCACCATGAAGTTTGATGGTTCTCGTACCATGCATGAGCATATCGTCGAAATGACGAACATTGCAGCAAGACTAAAGACCATGGGAATGGAAGTGAATGAAAATTTCCTAGTAACGTTCATCCTTAATTCCTTACCTCCAGAGTATGGCACATTCCATGTGCATTACAATACTCTAAAGGATAAATGGAATGTGCATGAGTTACAAAGCATGCTCATTCAAGAGGAAGCAAGGCTTAAGAAACCAGGAAATCATTCTGCCAATCTTGTTGGTCATAAAGGAGCTGGAAAGAAGCCATGGAACAAGAATGGGAAGGGCAAGGAAGGACTATCAAAGCTTAATGAGTCATCTGCCAAAATCCACAAGAAGGAACCAAGTAAGGATATATGCCGCTTCTGTAAGAAAGCCGGACATTATCAGAAAGATTGCTTGAAAAGAAAGGCATGGTTCGAAAGAAAGGGTAAGCCTAGTGCTTCAGTATGTTTCGAATCAAATTTAACTGAGGTTCCTTACAATACTTGGTGGGTTGACACTGGTTGTACCATTCATGTTTCCAAAACGATGCAGGGATTCCTTACGACCCAAACCATAAGGCAAAATGAGAAGTTCATCTATATGGGAAACCGAGCCAAAGTTCCAGTTGAAGCTATTGGGACTTATCGTTTGGTTTTAGATACTGGTCATCATTTGGACCTTTTCAATACCCTTTATGCTCCTTCTATTTCTCGTAATTTGGTTTCGGTGTCTCAACTAGATAAGACTGGGTATTTTTGGAACATTGGAAATGGTTCTATTAGTTTGTTCAAACAGAATGTTTTATTGGGTTCTGGTACCCTTGTTGATGGTTTGTACAAACTAAAGCTTGATACCCTATTCGCTGAGACTCTCTTAACCTTGCATCATAATGTTGGTATTAAACGTGGTTTGTTTGATGAATCATCTGCTTACTTGTGGCATAAACGGTTGGGTCACATATCCAAAGAAAGAATGGAAAGGTTAGTAAAGAATGAAATCCTTCCTCATTTGGATTTTACTGACCTTGGAATTTGTGTTGAGTGTATTAAAGGAAAACACACAAAACACACACTTAAGAAAGCAGCCACAAGAAGCTCACAGCTCCTTGAAATTATACACACTGATATTTGTGGGCCTTTTGATGTTCCATCACTTGGTGGAGAAAAGTATTTCATTACCTTTATCGATGATTTTTCACGTTATGGATATATCTATTTGCTGCATGAAAAATCTCAGTCGGTAGATACCCTTGAGGTGTTTATCAATGAAGTTGAGAGGCAATTAGAAAGAAAGGTGAAAATTGTCAGATCTGATAGAGGTGGAGAATATTATGGAAAATATGATGAAAGTGGACAGTGCCCTGGTCCATTTGCTAAGTTCCTAGAAAGACGTGGTATTTGTGCTCAATACACTATGCCAGGAACACCGCAACAAAATGGTGTTGCAGAAAGGCGGAATCGTACTTTAATGGATATGGTTAGGAGCATGTTAAGCAACTCATC